AATGGCTGAGGAGTCTTCTGGCCTAGTGCTAGGACTTTTGAGATGAGAGACTTTTGAGAAGTCAGCAAGAGAGAGAGTGGGCAAAAGATAAGGGGAATTGTAGGATGTCACTTATCTAGAGAAGATTGGCCGGTGTGGAATGGACTGTCAGCAATGGAGGAGAGGTTCCTGATGCTGCGTCCTCCATGGCTGGTTTGGGAGGATCCATAGGGAGGAACGCCTAATGGTGGCTGGCAATCACATCACCTGAGTACGATTCAAAGGTAAGCCCAGGTCTAGCTGCCGTTTCCTAATGCTCTCCGAGTAGCAAACTCAGAGTTATTGAAGCCAGGGCAGTGGCTCCCCATCCTCATGGAGCCCCCTTGCATTTTGACACCAAATGTTAGATTGCCAAAGGAGGAATTCACAAGGCCAGAATGGTGAGGGATTACAAATTTATTCAATCACCCAGTGGCTGAGCTCCAGCAGGCCCCAAAGACTGGGAGTCAGAGGTTTTTAAAGGACTCTAGATGGGCTTTTTCTGGGTGGAGAAGTCTCTGTGCAGGTTGGGAGGGGAGAGATCATGGAATGTGGTCTCAGCAAAAGGGAATGTCCAATGTCCATAGTGACATGGCTGAAAAATCATTTCCTGGGGGAGGGATATCGATTCAATTGCTCCTTCAAACCTAACAAATAGGGTTTTCTTTGATTGATAATAATATTTTATTGTGTGTATAATCACATCTTCTTTATCCATTCACCAATCAGTGGACACAGCTTGTTTCCATATCTCGGCTATTGTGATTAAATGCTGCAATTAACCTGGGGGTGCAGATATCTTTACAAAATTTTAACTTCTGTTTCTTTAGGTAAATACCCAGAAGTGGGATTACTAGATCATATGAGTCTTATTTTTCATTTTTTGAAGAACCTCTATACTGTTTTCATAGTGATTTTACCAGTTTAAAATCCCAACAACACTGCACAGGGGCCCCCTTTTCTTCACATTCTCACCAACACTATTTCTTTTGTTGACAGCCATTCTAACAGGTGTGAGGTGATACCTCATGGTTTTGATTTGCATTACCCTGGTGATAACTGAGCACTTCTTCATCTACCTCTTGGCCATTTGTATGTCTTTGGAAAAACTGTATATTTAGTTTCTTTGCCCATTTTTTAATTAGGTCATTAGATTTTTTTGCTATTGAGTTATATTAGTTTTTTACATATTTTATATATTAACCCCTTGTTATATATATAATTGACAAATATTTTCTCTTATTCTAATGGCTGCTTTTTCATTTTGATGATGGTTTCTTTGGCTGTGCAGAAGTTTTTTAGTTTAATGTAATCCCACTTGTTTATTTTTTGCTTTCTTTGCTTGTGCTTTTGCTATCGTATCCAGGAAATCCCTCCCAAAACTAATGCCAAGGAGTTTTCCCTGTTTTTTTCTAGGAGTTAGTGTCAGGTCTTACACTAAGTCTTTAACCCATTTTAAGTTTATTAAGTAGATTAAGATAGAGGTCCAATTTTATGTTTCCACATGTGGTTATCCAGTTTTTCCAGCATCATTTATTGAAGACATTCTTTTCCTGATAGACTATTCTTAGCTTCCTTGTCAAATATTACTTGACTAGAGACCCAGTGCATGAAACTCATGCACTGGTATTGGTAAGGGCCCTAATGCTCACAGTGGCCAGCTGGGTACTGCCTCCCTTCCTCCTTCTGCCTGCCATCACCGGCCTGCCACTGCCACCAGCTGGAGCCTCCCTCTCCCTGGCCAGCCCTCTCCCTAGTCAAACTTCTAGAAGAACTGATGGTTGAGGGGACAATTTGCATACTACCCATTTATTATATAGGACTATATATGTGTGGGCTTAGTTCTAGGCTCTTGACTCTGTTCTATTGGCCTGTGTGCCTATTTTTATGCCAGTATCATAGTGTTTGATTACTATGATACTGGGAATATATGGCTCCAGCTTTGTTCTTCATTCTCAGGATTGCTTTGACTAGGTTCTTTTGTGGTTTCATACAAATTTTAAGATTTTTTTTCTATTACTGTGAAAAATGCCATTGGTATTTTCTTAGGAATTGCATTGAGTCTATTGTTTGGGGTATTATGGATATTTTAATATTAATTATCCTAATCTATGAATTTAGTATACTTTTCTATTTGTTTGTGTCTTCTTTAATTTCTTTAATCAGTGTCATGTTATTTTTGGTATACAGGTCTTCCATTCCTTGGTTAGATTTATTCTTAAGTATCTTATTGTTTTTGATGCTATTTAAATGAGATTATTTCTTTTTCAGATGTTTTGTTGGTAGCATATAGAAATGCAGTAGCTTTCTGTATGTTGATTTTGTATCCTAAAACTTTACTGAATTTGTTGGTTAGTCCTAGAGGTTATTGGTGAAGTCTTTAGAATTTTATATATATAAGATCATATTATCTTCAAACAAAAACAATATTGCTTGTTCCTTTTCTATTTGGATGCCTTCTATTTCTTTTTATTGTCAGATTACTCTGGCTAGGACTTCCAGCACTATGTTAAATATATAAAACCCTAAGTGACCATTATGACCAAATGACCAGAATGACCAGTTGCTGTCTTGCACACTGACCACCAGGAGCCAACTGCTCAATGCAGGAGCTGCCCCCGGTGGTCAGTGTCCTTCCACAGTGGGAGTGCTTGCTGCTCAGCTGACCGACCCTTCCCAGCAGCCCACCAGCCCAGCAACAGCCACTCACTTCCTAGTAGTCCTGCAGGTCCAATCTCCAGAGAAAGGGCCAGGCACCAACGGACCAGTGCGGCCTACGATCCCAGCAGTACTGCAGGACTCCTGTTAGTCAGCCTCTGGCACTGCAGCCCCTCTCCACACACACACACACACATCCCTCCCCCCTTCTAGACACTCTGCAAGGAAGAAACAATATAAGTCGCCAGATTGCTCCCGACATCCAGCACAAATATTAGGGGAACGGATCCGGGGGATGAATTCAGATCCCCTACTGCCCACTGGGAGGGCCAATCACGTCCTGGCTCCCTCCACCCACTGGGAACCCCACCGCCCCCTTCAGGATCCCACCAGGCCTCTGGTGTTAAATAAGAGTGGTGAGAGTGTGCACTCTTGTCTTGTTCCTGATTTTAGAGAAAAAGCTTTCAACTTTTCATCATTGAGCATGATGTTAGCTCTGGGCTTATCATATATGGCCTTTATTATGTTGAGGTATGTTCCCTCTATACTGAATTTGTTGAGCATTTTTATCACAAAAGGATGTTGTATTTTGTCAAATACTTTTTTGTAGCAATTGATCTGATCATGTGATTTTTTATCTTTCATTATATTAATGTGCTATCTCACATTTATTGATTTGCATATGTTAAATCATCCTTACATCACAGGAATAAACCCCAGTTTATTATGCCAAGTGATCCTTTTAATGTGATTGAATTCTGTTTGTTAACATTTTGTTGAGAATTTTTGCATCTATGCTAATTAGGGATATTGGTCTATAATTTTCTTTTCTTGTAGCTACCTTATCTGGCTTTGGTTTCAGGGTAATACTGGCATTGTAAAATGAATTTGGGAGTGCTACCCCCTGTTCAGTTTTTTGGGAGAGTTTGTGAAATATTGCTGTTAATTCTTCTTTAAATGTTTGGTATAATTTACCAGTGAAACTACTTATCTGGTCCTGGGCTTTTATGCTTGGAGAGGATTTTGATTACTGAATTTATTGATAACAGACCATTTGATATTGGTCTATTCAAATTTTCTATTTCTTCATGATTTACTCTTAGTAATAGATTGAATGTTTCTAGGAATTTATTCGTCTCTTCTAGGTTATCTAGCCTGTTAGCATATAATTATTAATAATTATTCATAGTAGTTTCTCATGATCTTTTGTATTTCTGTGATATCATTTGTAATATATCCTTTTTGGATTCTGATTATATTAAATTGGGTCCTCTGTTTTTCTGAATTAGTCTAGTTAAGGTTTGTCAGTTTTTCTTTTTAAAGAACAGTTCTTAGTTTTATTGATCTTTTCTATTGTTTTTCAGGTTAGGTTCTCTTATTTTAACTTTGAGAATGGAAACGTTCATTTCTTGAAAGAGCACTTTATACAAATGAGAAGAATGAGTGGGATTTCTCCTATTTCAACAGTCTGTGTAATAAGATCTATCCTTTAATTTTTCAAAAGCCATGGCTCTTTAACTGAAAGAAAGAAAGTAAAAAAAAAAAAAAAAAAAGACCCTTTGTGACTTAATCACCACCAGTGTCATGGGAAAAGCCAAGATCAGTAGTTGTTCATCATTTCGACCATGCCCACTCTAGCAAATATATGTTACATTAGGACCCAGTAAACAAATGTAGTCACAGCTAAAAGTTGCAAGAAATAATACTTAATTCTGATTATGTACCACTCTAATGCTTTTTATTCTATGTATTTTGTTTCATTTTATTTATAGTCCATTTTGGGATTTTTTTGTTTGTTTGTTTGTTTGGTTTTGCACTGTATTGTTTCTAAATGCTGATCCTAAGCCACTAAGGGGTCATAAGTTGCAGTCTGACCAGTGCTGACGACAAGGGGCAGCAGAGGGGTCCTGTCTGAGTTAACTAACATTCAGTGCTGCCCCACCCCTGTAGCCTCCACACCTCCACCCTACATTTGTATTCATTCTTGGTTTCCCCACAAATGTTATTCCCAGCTTTTCATGTGACCATATCTTTGTTCTGCATACACTGCCACTTTGTTTCCTGGCTCTGCCATGTAAACCTTACATCTTTGTTCTGGACACTGATTGGCTAATGGCTCAATGGCCTTCACATATCCAAAGGATAAAGGGGAGAGAATGGCTGAAAACAAAGTTTTACAAGAAGCCTGAACCTGGAAAAGGCTAGGGTGGTGATGATGCTCAGGGCTTGGGGAGATGGAAGAGAATGTGCCAAGACCAGGAATTAAAGTTCAGAATTATAGAGTTGTGCTCATTCCCCTTTTCTCTGCCTCTTGCTGCCTGCAGGTAAATTCTACTGCAAACCACACTACTGTTACCGACTTTCCAGCTCTGCACAGAGGAAGAGACCAGCAGTGACTTCTTTGTCTGGAAAGGTAATGGTAATCCATTTCTGCTTGGGGAGAAGCAGCAAGTACTATGTATTTCAGTGTCATGACAGGTCAGTGTGTAGCCAGCAGAGCCTGCTGAATGGCCACTGAATTGCCTTTCCTGTGAATAAGAAAGGCTTGCTTGAGAGGTGGTCATAGTCCATTTCAGAGAGGGAACCAACTTTTTCAAGCCTAATCTAATGCTGCATTTCACTGAAGTAATGTTCTATCCACCACCTGAGTTGGATTTATCGGGTCTAGTAATAATTAATGTCGTTTTTTAACATTCGTTTAAAATCTTGCTTGGAGTTGACTTGTATTGACATAACCTTCAAACACGTGGTATCTACAGAACGTGTGAAGTGCAATTAACAAGTTTTGCTTGAAAAAGTTTGTTTGGTTTGGTTTTTGTTGCAAAACTAGGGCTAAGAAGATGGCGGATGAAGAGCATATTCGGCACTGCATGCTTTACGAGTTCCAATTAGGAAGAAAAGCAAGTGAGGCTGCAAAAAACATCTGTAGTGCTCTTGGTCAAGATGCAGTTAGCACCAGAAAATGCCAGCGTTGGTTTGAGAAATTTCGCGAGGGAAATTTTTCGTTAGATGACAAGAGTGGTCGAGGCCGTGTGTCCAATTTTGATCAAGAAGCTCTTCAAGCTCTTTTGGTGCAAAATCCTCAAATTACCCAACAAGAGCTTGCAACAACTTTAAATTGTTCACAAAAAACAATTTCCAATCAATTGCGTGCACTTGGCAAAGTCCAAAAGTTTGGAAAATGGGTTCCTCATGAGTTGACCGACAACAACCGTAATCAAAGAGTCACAATTTGCAGTTCGCTCCTCTCTCGTCAAAACCGTTTGCCATTTTTAGAGCAAATTGTTACCGGAGATGAAAAATGGGTGCTGTATGTTAATTTGAAAAGGCGGCCTCAATGGTTGGACAAAAATGAGGCTCCGCAGCCCACGCCAAAACCTGACTTGCATGCGAAAAAGTGATGTTGTGTGTTTGGTGGAATTTTAAAGGAATTCTTCATTATGAACTTTTACCATCTAACCAAACCATTACAAGTGCAGTGTATAGTGCCCAATTGGAAAGGTTAGCCCAAGCTTTAAGAGAAAAAGAACCCGCGCTGATTAATCGGAAGGGCGTAATTCTTCACCACGATAATGCACGACCGCATACTGCAAGAATCACTGCTGAAAAACTGCGCCAGTTGGAATGGGAAGTTCTCCCTCAACCTGCGTATTCTCCTGATATTGCCCCTTCTGATTACCATTTGTTTCGTTCTTTGCAAAACTTTCTTCTTGGAAAAAAATTTAATAATGAAGAATGCCTCAAAAATGCATTGACCGAATTTTTCGTATCAAAATCACAAGAATTTTACAACAAAGGGATTAAAATGCTTCCTGAGCGTTGGGCACAAGTAGTAGAAAACAACGGCAACTATATTGTTGATTAAATTTTGTTGTATTGTTTAAATAAATTCGATTTAAAAAAGTATTAGAAAACGACATTAATTATTACTAGACTTAATAGAATACTGTGTCAGACCTTCCCTTCTGTTCACTCTGTATAAAAGACTTTTACCTTTGTAAACAAACATCTCTCTGAGAAAAGGACAGCCTAAAAATGAACTTAGTTGTAAATAATCTGCTCTGACTGCCAATTCCTTTCAGTTTCTTTCTTGTGTGAATAATTTATCTAAGTACCTTTTTCCTTCTCTCTTTTTTTATTTTTAATGAGAGTAACTAGCTCCTCCCTCCATCTTTACTCCATGATGTCTCCTTGTCAGGGAGCAGGCTAGCTAATTCTTACTTGAGAGGCTCCTGTTGACTGAAGAAGGACTTGTAGGAAAAGTTATACTTGAGTGGAGCTAGATTTTGACTACTCATAACTTCCATGTGAAATATGTCCTTTTTTTTAAAAAAAGAAAGACTTTGTGTGGAATATAGCTCTGGGTTAAAGGTAAGAGCAACAAACTAACTAGTTGGGATGTCATTGCCTCCTGATTTTCGAGTGGTTCAGTCAGTCACTCTTATTTTTCTTTTTGACTTTCCTAGGATGCCAGAGGACCCCTGCAAGATGGCCTCATTGCAGACGCAAATGGACCAGTCAGTACCGTCACCAACCCTGCTGATAGAACTCCAGGTAGCCTCACTTCCTTGTTTGGCTGGGTAGCACGTCACTCTCTTGGCCTCTGTGACAAGGCCAGGGAGATGAGCCAACACCTCCAAACCAACATTTCTTCGATTGGCCATCAGGTGGCCCAAAACCCTTTGGACTCCTTTTTCATGTGCCAGCTGCTTGCATTCGGAGTCCCCTTTCTCTATGGCCTGTCAGAGGTGCTGGTACAAATCAGAGGGGAGTTTTACTGGCAAACCGTGGGCCAGTAGGGGCCTCATCTGGTAAACATTATTACCCAAGCTTCATAATATCTACTCAGTATTTCAAAAGTATTGCTATAGTCTTGTGGCCATCAAACACATGAAGGTGGTTGCTCTAGGCTCTGTCTAGATAAACAGGAATTCTAAAGAGGCTGTTTTTGTCATTGACCCAGGTGATAATCGAGAATTACAAGGTCCTCTTATAGCTCCAATTTGGGACTCTTGACATAGTACTGAGTTTGATAAGGCCCATTACCTGGATTTATGTTCTCTTGGACTTGAAATTCTTGCATTCCATTCCCTATTTAGGTATCTAGATGAACTGATACTTCTCTTCTATTTGACCTATAACCATTAAAGGATATGCCCTGTCCTGATCATTTTGGGGCATTTGAACTTCTAATGAGGATCAAGCCCTAATTTGTCCCACTCTTACGAACCATTTCCTTGTGTCAGGAAGTAAATGATACCATCCTCTAAAAACACATTTATTCTGATCTTTGCAGGGCAGGACTTGGTTCATTTTGAAGAATTGTGTTTTCCTCCCTTAAAATTGCCTATCTATATATTTATCTACTCCATGTCAAACCAGCCTGTGAGATATGTCCATAGTTCCATAAGCTAATGTCTTCAGTACAGTCCAGATTGTTTACAGGCCAGGTCACTGTGTAAGAAAGAAAAGAAGTCAACAGGGCCATGTTTTTGTCTATCACACATTTCATCCTATTCAAATATATCTAAAGCATCCATTTACAAACTCTTAAAAATTATCATATAAAAACTAAGATTATTAGCTAATGCCAGAAACTAAGAAGACAAGAATTACCCACTCAACCTTCAAATGAAAGGTTCCCTGGGTTGCTTCTTTTTCTGTGTGTAAGAACTAATGTGAACCTCATGTGTTCTGGGAGAGAGAATGTGCTAGAGGGTATGTGATACCCCTGGTGAGGTGATCCGGAGGCTAAGACTCAGGATACCCCAACTGAGCTAGGTGAGCTTGGCTCCTTCTACTATATGTGCCCTTTTTATAATCTGGGGAAACTTTTTTAAGTGCCCTGCAGATTGTACCAACAGTTTATAGCAAAGTTTAAGCCACGAATATAGCCTTCTATATTGAAACCTTCTAAGCCTTGAAACCCCTTATCGTCTGCCTCTTTCATGAAGTGCTGATAGCCCTTTGCAGAATATGGGGAAGCACTGGAAGAGAAAAATAACCAAAAGGATCCAGAGGTTTGGGCTCTGCACTCTAGAATGTGCATTTAACCAGGTCTCATTCCAGCAGAGATGGATTTTCCAAAGAACCTGGCTTCTCAGTAAAACAATTCAAGGAAATTAAACTTTCTTTTTGGGTATAGAGTACAGAACATTCTTTAAAATTAATAAACACCATGAAGTTCAGGTTGTTCCTGAGAAAGTTACATTTATTCACTTTCCCTACTGGTTCAGTTTGCCATTTTATTTTCTAGTTTGAAAGCATTTTATTGTCTAGTTTGTATTATAAAGAATTAAGGGAAGAATACTCTACAAAGCAGGGAGAAAAAACGAGAGATGATTAGGCAGTCATATCCTTTGCAAAGTGACCCCCACCTCCACCCCCAGGTCTTGATAAGAAAAAAAAAAGTAGAGAGTTTGCAATATGGTTAAAGAATTAAAGCTCTGCCATAGCTGGTTTTGCTCAGTGGATAGAGCAAAGACACATAAGACCATAAGACGCACCAGTTTTTAGAGAAGGGAAATGAAGAAAAAAAGATTCTGAAACAAATAGTGTCCTAAAATATTTTATGTGCATTAAAACCCAACATCACAGTCATAAACACATGTAATCAACCCTGTAAAGTAAACAGCAGCATTTAGAACCATTTTAGAGCCGGGCAAGCACACAGAGACCACACAGAGCCGGGCAAGTAAAAAAAACTTTTTTTTTAAAGTATATGTGTAGGCTATATTTGGACCATAAGATGCAGGGACTTTTTCCCCCCACTTCTGGGGGGAAAAAAGTGTGTCTTATGGTCCGAAAAATACAGTATATATTTTTTAAAAAGCAAGCCCTGAGGAAAAAATCAATCCCCATGGTTCTTGATTCTAAAGGTAACTTGCCTGTTACAACACAAGGGGTTCAAGATGTGGCATCTCAAGGAACGAGGCAGGCACTGTCCCCAATTTAAGGGACTCTCTAGGTGGTAAGAAGGCCAGGACTTAGTGCTGACGAGATGCAGTTAGTGTCTGCCTCTGGAGACATGAGCTTTTGGAAATCACAGCTCTGAGTCTGAACGTGTTCCAAAGCAACAGTGCTTCCCCTGTGAGGTGCCTAATTTTTGCTAGCTTCTGTAGAAAAGGAGCAGAATCATGGGTGGTCTTTTATAGTTGCCATGAAAGAGACTTTTTTTTTTTCTCTCCTTTGATAGGGATTTCCTTTTTTATATCCCAACTTAAGCATTGATTGGTTAACTAGAATTTTCTTTCAAAGGGCTTCAGAAAAACTCAGGAGTTTTAGTTGTATCAAATGTGTGTCATAGGTAGCAGACATTAACCCATATCCATGGTAGATATTCTCTGCTGTACTCTAAACAAGAAAAGGCTGTAACTGAATGAACTTGATTCTGCCATGTCCAAATAAACCATCCTCCTAGACTCATATACCCAGAGGTCAGAGGCTGAAAAGTTATAGCTGTAGCTGGCACATGACCATGCTGTACTTTTGCTTTGTGCCTTCTCTTTATTTTGTGGCATTGGTCTCCTCTCCCTTATGTTCCTTTCCCCTCATGCCAAAATTACTACTATTGCCAAAAAAACACACAACACAACCCACAAGTTAAAAGACTCTACTATAGGTCTGCCCCTGAGGGTTATCTTTCTCTAGTAACCTAATCTGTAACTGCTACCTGATTTAGTGTTTGGAAGACATTGTTCACATTATTTTTGTTAAGTGCTTTTAATACCAAAAAAAACCCCTCCTTTCTGTTCTCAAATCTTAGCTGCTTTGTTTCCAAGCTTCTTATTCTTAACTGCTACAGATTAGTGGACCTGGCACAGATATTCCTTTCCTCAGAGTACCTACCCTGACTTCAGGAAAAATTATATCTCATGTAGTCTATAACCAAAAATAAAGCATAAAAATTATGGTGTCATAACAAGAAACCAAAGAGCTGTTCTTCTAGTATAGAAACAGAGATGGAATGGAAGAAACATTTAGTTGTCTCTTATGGAAAAGGTAATCTTAACTTAGAAAGGTACCTAGCAGAATAACACATGGCAGGTGCCTGCTCCCCGTCCCCAGACACCCCTTGCATAATCCATTAGGTTTCATAGTGCAGATGCTGAATGGACGTTAGAAAATGCAGGCATTTTTTTTGCATACCAGCTAGATTTGCCATGTTAGTACAAGGAATTCTGTTCAGTCTTGGAGCTCCTGTCTGGAAGGAGGTAATTAGGAAATCTCAATGCTTCCCCTTAGGAACATTTTTTAAAAACCTGTTAGTAGAGCAAAGAGGTTTCGTGATCTAGCTTAACACCCCAACCCTGCCCCAAGAGTCATAGTTAATGGTGATGTATGAATATTTATTTACATACACTTATCTATTTTTATAGGTTTAACTTCATATATATGAATAGATATTTAGATAACTGTAATCTAAATAATAACAATATTGATGAAGCTATTTCTAAAGCTTCCTATTCCTTGGGTCATTGGCCTGGCTTATGTTCTGGTCAGACTGGCAGTGGACAGAGTAGCCAGCATACCTATAGCTCAGTAAATGGACAGTATACACTCTCAGCTTCAAGAAATTGATTTGAGAGCAAACTAGGAAAGTCTGGGTTCTGTTGCTGGTGAAATGCCACAGAGAACCAACATCGTACCTAACCTCTGTTTTGCTTTCAGGTTTAGGTACTTGTTCCACCGAACTAGTCGTTGCAGCTTGCTGCTGTCTCTTAGTGTTCGGTGTATCTCTGTAAGACAGTGGAACATTTTTAGTCCCTCCTAAAAAGGGCCCCAGAGTATCCTTGAACGCATGACCAGTGAATTAATGGGTACCCTTTTCCACCGCCATTCAACTCAGGGTAGAGGAAGGGGTGCAAAGGTAAGCAGCAGATGGGTTCTCACAACAGTGGTACAAAGAAACCTGAGCGAGGGAGGATGAGCTGTGCCCAGGAGCCCATACCCTTTCCACCTTTGGCCTTTGAAGCCTTTATATTTTGCCCTTGTTTTTAGCCTGCGCTGTTGTGAGTTTTTGCTGTGTTTCTTTGTGAGTTTTTTATTTCGTTATGTAACTTTGTTTTTGTGGTTTCTGTGAAACTAAGGTGTTGTGCTTTTAATTTTTCTTAACAAATGTTACCATTCTTATTTAAGAGAATAAATTCCAAACAATCTTCAGGTTTCTGAGTTTTTCTTTTCCTTACCCTTTTCCTGGTTGGAGGATGGGAAAGGGAGTAGCTCAGACTGGTCTCAGAGTTGGCTTGAAATAATTGTGGAGTGGGGTGGGGTGAGGTGGGGTGCGATGGGGTACAGTAGGGTTGGGTAGGGCAGGGCAAGGATTAAGCAGAAGTGTATTAAAATGGGGAAACAGCCGAAACCAGTTTGGCCAGTGGATAGAGCATCCGTCTGCGGACTGAAAGGTCCCGGGTTCGATTCCGGTCAAGGGCATGTACCTTGGTTGCAGGCATATCCCCAGAAGGGGGTGTGCAAGAGGCAGCTGGTCGATGACTCTTTCTCATTGATGTTTCTAACTCTCTATCCCTCTCTCTTCTTCTCTGTAAAAAATCAAT